TCTTTGATGAAGGTTTTATTGCCAAGGACATTCTGAACCAAAAAAAAAAATCATGAAGTGTCTTCTGATGATAAGAATGCCTTTTATGTTACAAACCATGGAGACTTGCTAAAGAAACATCTAAGATGATTAAAAGCTCTTCCCCATGTCACCCCCTTTTATGCAGTCAAATTCAATGCTAACAGAGCTATAGGGAAGACTTTAGATGCCATTGGGATAGGATGTGACTGTGCTAGCAAGACTGAAATATAGTTGGTGCAGAGTGTCCAAATGCCTCCAGAAAGAATTATCTATGCAAATCCTGATAAACAAGTTGTCTCAAATTAAATGTGCTGCCAGTATTGGAATCAAATGATGACTTATGACATTGAAGTCAAGTTGATGAAATTTGCCAGAGAGCATCCAAAGGCAAAGTTGGTTTTGCAGATTGCCACTGATGATTCCAAAGCCGTCTGTTGCCTCAGTGTTAAATTTGGTGCCACACTTAAAACCAGCAGAATTTCTTTTGGAACAAGCTAAAGAATGAAATGTTGATGTCATTTTGTGTCAGCTTTCACGTGGGGAGTGGCTGCAGTGATCCTGAGACCTTCATGCAGGCCATCTCTGATGCCCACTGTGTCTTTAACATAGGAGCTGATGTTGATGTCAGCATGCATTTGCTTGATATTTGTGGTGACTTTCCTCAATGTGAGGATGTGAGGCTTAAATATGAAGAGATCACCAGTGCGATCAACCCAGCACTAGGCTCTGGAGTGAGGATCATAGTTGAGCTAAGTAGATAATATGTTGTTTCAGCTTTCATGCTTGCAGTTAGTATTGCCAAATAAATAAATAGATAGATAGATAGATAGATAGATAGATAGATAGATAGATAGATAGATAGATAGATAGATAGATAGATAATTGTATTAAAGAAGCAGGTAAGCTCTGATGATGAAGATGAGGCAAGTGAACAGACCTTTATATATTATGTGAATAATGGAGTGTACATATCATTTAATTGCATCCTTTATGATCATGCACATGTAAGGCCTCTGCTTCAGAAGAGACCTAAACCAGATAAGAAGTATTATTCATCCAGCATATGGGGACTGACATGTGATGGCCTTGAACAGATTGTCAAGTTTTGTGACCTGTTGAAATGCATGTGGGTGATTGGATGCTTTTTGAGAACATGGGCACATACACTGTTGCTGCTACTTCTACTTTCAATGGATTCCAGAGGCCAGCTGTCTATCATGTGATGTCAGGACCAACATGGCAATGCATACAGCCAATCCAGAACCACAGCTTCCTGCCTGAAGTGGAGGAACAGGACGTGGGCACTCTACCTGTGCCTTGTGCTCAGAAAAGCAGCATGAAACGTCACTTAGCAGCATGCACCTCCACTAGTATCAATGTATAGATGCCACTCTGTAGCTCTTCACTGCAAGTTTAGCTTAAGGGATCTGGGGAAGGAGGGGGTGAGACTATTGAAGTTAATTATTGCTAGTTTTAAAATGTCTTTGTAAGAGTAGCATTGGAAGAAATGCAGCAATATGGGAGACAAGAAAGTGGGGTCACACTTATGGAAACAATTTGAATGTTTGTTTTATATGTATTTTGATACACTTTTTAAACAAGTTATTAAAGAATGGCCCCTCAGCTGCCCAGCAAGCATTTGTAGCTTGTACAATGGCAGAATGAGCCAAAAGCTTAATGTTGTGACCTGTTTTGAAAATAAAGTATCTTAGTAATTTAAAAAAAAAAAGAAATAATAATAAATTCTGAAGCAGATTGTGGGGGAAAAAACTATGTCTCCAAAAATTTTCTACCATTCTCTTTATACTATTTTTTATTTCTTCTGCTATGAAGAAGCTTTTTAATTTGATGTCATCCCATTTGTTAATTCTTGGTTTTATTTGGGGGGCTTTAGAGGTATTTTTCAAGGAAAGCTGTGCCTGTGTCAGTATGTTGTGGCCTTAGCCCTATCTTTTCTACTAGCAGATGCAACCTTTCTGCCCCTCTACCTGAGTGGTCCACTTTGAGTTGAATTTTATACATGGTGAGAAATAGGGATCTCATACCATTCTTCTACATATGAATATCCAGTTTTTTTTCCAGCAAAATTTGTTTAAAATGCTGTCTTTTCTCCAACATGTATTTCGGCACCTTCGTGAAATATTAGATGGCTATAAGCTTATGGGTTTGTCTCTGTGTCTTCTATTCTGTTCCATTGGTCTGTATGTCTATTTTGATGCCAATACCATGCTATTTGCTACTGTAGCTTCATAATATAATTGGAGATCAAGAGTGAAGTTTTCAGCATCACTCTTCTTGCTCAGGATTGCTTTGGCTATCCTGTCTTTTGTGCATCAAAATGAATTTTAGGACCATATTTTCTGTGAAAAATGTCATTGATATTTGATAGCAGAATGCCAGCTTACTAATGGGAAGTTGTGTGGTCATCAGATGACTCTGAAGAGTAAAAAGCCCTGACTTAGAAATTTTGTTAATTCCTTTACTATAAATATTTCTACAGTAGCTGATTTCAACCTATCACTCATTTGATAACAGGCTTGACAAAGTCTTAAACATTTTCATAAGACTTGTTAGTCAGTCTGGGCCAGTCACCAGCACACCACTGAACAGCTACTACTTAAACATACTGGATTTGTATGTTGCAATAATGATCATATTTTTCCTGCAATGCCTTCATTCAATTAAAACTCATCTATTAAGATATCATGTCTATGTAAAGACTTAAAAGGCAATAGTGGTTATAATTTTGAGTCATAATTTTGAAAAGCTCATCAAAGCTGTAAGCATTCTCCTATAGAAGGAAAAGTACACCTTCAAATTCTTTAATACAATTTTGGAAGAACATTGGGCTTCCTGATATTTCTTCATGGGACTCCAATTTACAATTTATTTTTTCAGGTTGGATAAAATAATATGGCAAACATCTTTTTCCTTTTTTCTATCTGTAATTTTTATTAGTACCTTATAATTACATATGATAGCATTAATTATGATATATTCAAACATGTACAATGCATTATTTGTTTTATTTTATTTCCCCATAACCATATTTCCCTCCCTTCTTCCCCATCCTCTCATGTACTGGTCACTCGTGTATGTTCTTATACATACATGAAGTCCCTTTATTTTTTTTCCCTTCTAGCCTCTAAATGAGACCCTTGACTTTCTGAATCTGGCTAATCTCACTTAGCATAATGTTCTCAAATTCCATCCATTTTCCTGCAAATGACTTAATTTTCTTATGGCTACTGAAACTCTATTGTGTATAGAAACCACATTTTCCGTATGCATTCTTCTGTTGATGGACATGCGGGCTGGTTCCAAAACGTGGTAATTGTGAATTGTGGTGTCATAATCATAGGTGTGCATTTGTGATTATAGTTATGGTATTTTTAAATCTTTTGGATAAACACCTGGAGTGGTACAGCTGGGTCATATGGTGGTTCCATCTTAAGTCTTTTGAGGAACCTACATTTGAATGTTCACAGTGGTTGTGGTCATTTAAAATCAACATTGTGTTAGTGTTCCTTTAACCCCACATCCTTGCTAGGATTTTTTATTATTGTGTTATTGATGATTGCTATTCTGAGCAGAGAGAGAATCTCAATGTAGCTTTTTAAAATATTTTTATTAGTGCATCATAGTTATACATATAACATAGCAATATAGTTTTTTGCATTTTCTGATGGCTAAAGATGGTGATAATTTTTTTTCACATTTTTTTGTTGGGGTCATTTGTGGTTCTGCTTTTGAGAAAGGTCTGTTTAGTTCATTTGCCAATTTATTGAGTGGGCTATTTGTTAGTTTTTTTCTTACATTGTCTGAATGTTTTCTATAGTCTGAATATTCATCCTCTGTTGGAAGAATACCTGGCAAACAACTTTTCCCATTCTGTAGGCTCTTTCTTTGTGAGCTTAATCATTTCTTTTGCAGAAGATTTAGTTTGAATGCTATTCAATTTATTAATCCTTGGTTTTCCTTCCTGAGCTTTAGAGATCTTATTGAGGAAGTTGATGCCTGCTGCTGTATGATAGAGCAGACTTCTAGCTGCTATAAAATTTCTGCTCTAGTTCCTAGGTCTTTGATCCTCTCTGACTTGTATGCAGGGTGGGAGATGAGAATGTAGTTTTATTCTTCTATATTGATTTTCAGTTTTCCCAGGACCATTTGTTTAAAAGGCTGTCTTTTACTTTAACATGTGCTTTTGGTGCCTTTTTCAAGGATCTGGTAACTTAAACTATGTTGGTTTGCCTGTTTTCTAGTTAATTCCATTGTTCTACATGTCTGTGCCAGTGGCATGCAACTTTTGTCCCTACAACCCTGTAGTATAATTTGAAGTTGGAAATTGTGATGTCTCCAGCATTTTTCTTATTGCTCAGCTTTGCTTTGACTATTTTGGATCTTTTATATTTCTAAATAAATTTTAGGACTTTTTGGTTTTTGCAGTTCTATCATTACCAGGAATGCCATTGATAACTTTATGGAAATTGCACAGAATGTATAAATCACTTTTATTAAGTTGGCCATTCTGCCAATATTAATTCTGCCTGCCCAGGAATATAGGAGATGTTCTTATTATTTAGTGTCTCCTTCAATTTCTTTCTTTTGTGTTCTATAATTTTCCCTGCAGCAGTCTTTCACCTCCTTGGCTAGATTTATTGGTATTTATTTTTTAAGGCTATTGTGAATGGATATTTTTTTCTGCTGTCTTTATCAGCAGACACATTATTGGTGTGTATATAAAAGCTATTGAATTATGTATTGATTTTGTAAACTACTTTGCTTTAATTTTAATCAGCTCTAGAAATCCTCTGCTGAAGCAATTAGGATTATCTAAGTATAGGATCATATCATATACAAATAGCCATGTATTTGATTCTTTCTCACTAAGTCCATGCTATTTCTCTTGCCTAATTTCTCTGACTAAAATCTCAAGTACTATATTAAAGACAACTAGTGAGAGTGGACCTCCTTTCCTCTTTTTCTGGTATCAAATTTTGAAGAAAATGCTTTTTTTTTTTTTTCCGTATACTATAATGTTGCCTTTGGGTTTGTCCCTATATAGCTTTTGTGATGTTTATAGAAGTTCCTTCTAGCCCTAGTTTTTTAGTCTTTTTAATACAAATTAGGGCAAAATTTTGTCAAAGGCTTTTTTTTCTGTATCTAATGCCATGGTCAAATGATTTTTGTCCTTTATTATGCAGCTTTGAAATTTAGAGGATTATTGAGGACCTCTTCATAAACTTGTATGCTAGTAAATCCAAAAATCTAGAAGAAATTAATAGGTTTCTAGACATATGACCTACCCAAATGTAACCAAGAAAATGGTAAAAAAAAACTAAAGAGACTGATATTAAGCAGTAAGACTGTAACAGTCATAAAAACCATCAAGAAAACCTGGTATCAGATGGATTCCCAGCTGAATTCTACAGGATCCTTAAAGAATTAATGCCAATGCTTCTCCAGTTGTTTCAAGAAATAGGTGGGGTGGGGGTAACACTCCCATGTTTATTCTATATAACCCGATTCACTCTTATACTAAATAATTAGCTTCAGAATCCGTGGTTTCTTTTTCTGTTCATGCACTGACAGCAGCAGTATACTTTTAGTCCTGGTCATTAGAGGTTGATATTAAAGATATTGACCTTAGTAGATTCTCTTTCAGAATGGTTCTACTGTAAAAAGCCCAAGGAAAATTTACTTGTCCTCATGTCTTAGATTTGTTTTTGAGTGTTTTCAATTCTTGAGCATTATTATGTTCACCACGGTAAACCATCACTGGAGAATTCTGATTCATAAAGGTTGGGTTGTAATTGGCAAGGAGGATTTAAAAAAAAATATTGAATCACTTTGAATATGATTATTATATTGTAAATGATATCAGATACAATACTCCCATTTATCAATGGGATTGTTCATGTAATTTACAGGACATTCAAAAACTAAATGTTAGAACTAGCATGATTCAGCATCAGTAAGTCCATTCATACACCACAGACCAAATGACCAGTTGAAGGCCAAGTATCCCTAAGAGAAACACAACCTTCATCTTTTGGCTCTTAATTGGTTCCATCTGGAATGTTCCTATTGTTCAATACATTGAAATGTGAAACAAACTCACTTGATGACATATTTATTAAACACCTACCATTGTGATACATTGCTAGGATTCCAGTAAGAGACAATAATGAACACAAGATACTTCATGCCTTTTACAAACTAACATTCTTGCCAAGCAATGCTATAGATCACTGAAATACAAAATCAAGTGGAGACAAAGCTTAACAAATGAAGTCAGATACATATTTACCTGAAAAACAAATCAAGCAAGGTCCATGGAAGAAGGTACCATATTAAAGTGAACACTGAGGGACAGGGAGGAGACAAACATATGGAGATAAAGAAGGTATTCTAAGTAGAAGGTGTTTGTTTTAGTCAGCTTTCTCACTGCTGTGATTTCAAGATTCACCAGCACAATTGTAGAGGAGGAAAAGTTCATCTGAGAGCTCATAGTTTCAGAGGTCAACAGAGAGCTCCATTCTTCTGGGCTGGAGGTGAGACAGGACATCAGGAGAGTGTGTTGGAAGGAAGCAGCTAACATCACAGTGATCAGGAAGCAGAGAGACACCACTCACAAGATACAAATATATACCCGAGAGCCACATCCCAATTCCCATCTCCTCTGGCCAGACATGCCCTACCACTTTGGTTAATCCCATCAGGGATTAATTCACTGGTTAGGCTAAAGGCTATGACCCAATCATTTCTCCTCCAAACTTTCTTGCATTGTCTCACACAGGAGCTTTCTGGGGATACTACATCTAAATCATAATAGTATTCTATGTGCCAAAATGAACAGGTTGGGAAATCTATAGGCCACATCCTCATAAGAGTAGAAAATAATCACATTACTTGTGATAGTATAATGGAAGATGAGTCCAGGAAGCCAATTTTTGCCTCTATTATATGAGTGCAGAGCATTATTTAGGTGATGAAGGACTGAGTGTGTTAAAGTCATGAGTTTGGGACCAGTAGATGACTTTTAATTTGTCTGTGTCCCAAGATAATAGACAATACCTCTGTCTGTATATGAAACAAGATGTTAGAAATCCAAGTTTGGACCAAATATAAACATGACTAAGATTTTCTTTGGTAGAGTTTAGATCATTTTCAACCTACCTCCACACCTTCTCTCTCTTCCTATCCCATCCTTTTCTAGATTGAACTTGTGTCTGCTCCCATTGACAGTGATGAGTGGACTCATAATGAGTTGGAGACTGGGGTCCAAGGCTAACTGCTCTAAGGGCATTCCCATGTCATCCAGGGAACTCTTAATCTGAAAGGTTTCAGGACTCTAAGGGGTCAAATTTTTATAGCGGTATGTGAGTCAAATAGATCATGCATAAGGTCTTCTCACCTCATGAAGAGTGGAACAATACTTATGTGTCTTCCTTCCAGGGCCCCTAGCAGCCATTGGCTATAAGCGGCAGCCTGATCAGTGTAGGTGACTTGGGACAAACCAATCCTCACAGTGGAAATTGTTCACTAAGGCCAGCCGTGCTTTGCCAGTCATGTCACCATGAAACCAGAAGAGACATGAGGCACATAGGATGATGCAAAGATGACTACATATCTGAAAGCTCTTCAGTTTAGACCCAGATCCAGGACTGAGTTTCACAAATGTTAACAAAGTACAAGGTACAGATTCACGAGTTCTCAGAACCATTTTATCTTCCTGTCATCCCATGAGGAGGCACAGATTATAGCCTGACCCTCCCTGCACTGCTGAGACATGGAGGAATGTACCTCAAAGATAAAAGGTGCCTTGTAGAGGTGGCATCTCTGAGAGTCCCTTTCATGGGGATGGGTTCAGAGCTGAGAGTTGCAGATGGATGACTGTCAAGGCAGCTGGGGACCTGTGTCTTCAGTCAGCTTCACAAGGTGGCGATCTGTCAGCAAGATGTTCTGCTGGCCTGCTGGCTTCCGTGAGTGATGCCGGGAGTACCATCTTTTGCAGGAAGGAGAGATCACTTTCTGAAATGATTCCTGAAAGCGGCAAGACAGCAGGCTATAGACGACAGGCTTGACAGCTGAGCTCAGGTAGAAGAAGACACCTGGAATAGGAAAAGACGTGGGGGGAAACTGAGTGAGAGGCCCGTTAGGCTGGAAGCATGAATATTTAACAAAGACCTGGAGTCCCTGGTGTTGGCTCTTTTGGAAGTGATGATATATACAAGACTTTCATTGACAATGCAAAATGCTCTGAACTGATCTACCACCTGTGCACTTAGAAATCAAATATAAAAATTGCAATCCTCAAAAAGTTTAGGCTGGCGCAGGATCTCTCTGTGATAGTAACTTCCTTTGATCCCTAGATAAAAAAAAATGTTCCCATAACATTAATAAAAGATGTTTAAGAATTAGAGAAAAATTGTTTTCTCATTGTAATTTTACTTAAATCTATAATTTGAAGCTGCAAGTGATGGAGGAAGGGTAAATCTGCCAAGGATTAGTCCCTGCTGAGATTCCTGAAAAGCTCTTTTATAAAAAAAATTTTTAGTTGTTGATGGATCTTTATATTATTTATTTATATGTGGTACTGAGAATCAACCTAGTGCCTCACATATGCTAGACCAGTGATCTACCACTGAGCCACAACCCCAGCCCACACTGAAAAGCTCTTTAAAGAATGGTTCTCCCACCTCTTCTCCCTCCCTACCTTTCTTTGATAGCTCTTCCACCTTATTACATCATTGTGTTTATCATTTATTTTGTCCATTAGCACTTTGCACATAACCATTTTCCTGTTTCTTATACTCTCCCTTATTACCATGTCCAGTGTTATGTCTCCTAGGTTTAATGAGTGTAAGAATGGGAATCTTAGAACCTCATATTTTTCATATCTGTCAAAGCAAGAAACTGAAACTGAAACACACTGGCATTTCAGTTTCTTCCAAACTGTGAAGTGAGGAATAAAAATTTAGAGAAGCACCGGCACTTCAATTTTCTCCTAGTTATAAAATGAAGAAAAATTCCAGCCTCGTTCGTTTTCCCTCACTATTGTGAGCACTGTGCTGTGATACCATCCATGGGGGGCTAAGAATATAAAGCAACTCAGAGGTACAGTGGTCAGCACACTCTTTGTTACCTTTGTTAACATGATCCACAGCAGTCAGAGTGCCACATGCCATGTGTACAGGTGGGCAGGGAGGAATACAAAAGGAGATGTTACTATTGACTGTTTGTTCATTCAAGAAATAAATACTAAATAGAATAGACAATATGATTGATGTATGTACATTCCATGTATGTATTATATATCAAAATGCATTCTACTGTCATGTTTGACTAAAAAAATAAATAAAAATTAAAAAAAAGAAATAAATACTAACTGAACCCTTACTAAGTGCCAGGAACTTCAAGGCACAAGTGAATTGTCTAACAACTTTGGATAGTATTGTTAAGATGAAATCCATGGCTAAATTAAATAATTTATGGCACAGTATCTGTTAAGAGCAAACCATAGCTATTAAGTCCTGCTATGGCAGTTTACATAATGGGCTGAACACAGTGAAAGGGATTCATCCATTTGGTGGGTGTGGCTGGGCTTCATCCTGACCTTGAGATGAGTGGGAGATGAGAAAGAAGGTCGTTGGTTGCAATTCTCTGTTTTTAGTAGACAGAACCCTGAGCTTAAAGTTCAGTTATTTGGGGGTGAGTTCTGGGTCTAATATTTACCAGATGAGTGCCTTGGGCAGTCACTTCTTCTAGTAGTAAAGCAGACCAGGGACACCCACTTAGAAGACCCTTACCATAATTACACAGAAGCCCCCACCATATTTGTAACATATGAGTGTCTCTTCTTGTCAGAGGGATTTTTTACAAAGGGTATCAATAAGATATCAGCAAAAATTTGTGCATAGGGCATTGTGGTTTGCATCCCTCTCTTGTTTATAAAGGCTAGATTTGCAGGGGAAAAAAAACTTGTAAAACCTCTGTCTGACTTAGGAATATGGGACAAAGAGTATGACCCCTCCCACTACCATGTAATCATCCCACTGACTATAAATCTAAAAGAATTCCCAGATTTGGGATCCAGAGATTTTTTTTTTTAGGCATTAACTTCCTCTGGACTGCTGCAGCTAATAATCCTGCTTCCTGAAAATTCCACAGGTGACCAGCCTCTTCTGCCCTACATTAGCAGAACTAGATTTTTTGACTATAAAATGGTTTACGATAATATCTACTTAACAACTTGTGATTATAGAAAGACAAGTGGCATTTATAGGCTAAAACCTCTGTAATACTCACTGCCTCCCTTCCTATCATCAGAGCCTGGTGTCTAGAGCAAAAGCTATTAGCGTTTACAGCCAAGGAGACTCTGGCATGAAGGCAGCCAGGGGCTCCAGCTCACTCAGCGCATTGAAGTGGAATTGGGGTGCTAAGCCAGGTGCTCTGACTTGGTGACTTTTCACCAATATTTCTTTCATCTTCTGATGGTAGTATCCCGGACAAGGAGAGTTACAGTCACCTACAAGCAGATCTTGATGCCCATGAACACCTTTTGGCTGCTTTCATGAGGCCATAGGAGATGATAGGGACATGGTGTTCACTAAATAAGAACAAATCTGATCCCATGGCCCTTGGAGGGAAAACCAAAGAAAGCACTCTGGACTATTTTCCTGCTGCAATCCTCACACTTAGAGTCCAGGTATTTCATGAGGCAGCCTTGAAATCAGACGGCTGTTTCTTTGGACCAGCAACACGTCTAGTCAATCTTTGCCTAAAACTGAAACCAAGTGTCTTCACTCCAGGAGGAAAGATCCCCATGATAGTTTGCTCTACTCTAGCAGGCGAGCAAGCTGTAGGAAAATCTGCAGTTGCCCAGGCTCTTGTCACACAGGCAAAACAGCTAAAGCTTTACCTGACACCACATGGAGGAGGTTGAACACAGCAGCCAGGGACTTGGTCCACTCCTCCACGAAGCTGAAGAAGAGGCGATGAATGTGGATTGGGGCCCAACAGATGGCAAATGCTAAGAACAAGACAACTGAAACAGAGAATAAATGCTAGAGGAAAAATCAGTGCAGACAAGGATAGGTACAGGCTGCTCACCAAGTCATCCATTCCTTCTAGCAGCTTTTCTCTCCGCCTGGGTTAACCCACAGTCCTTACAAGCAAGCTAGATCCCATGGAGCCCTTCATGGAAAATTCAAATGTAAGAGCTCAGTGTGTAGAATCTAAGAACGGTTTTCTACATGGTTAGACAAGATTTCACAAAATGTTTTCTTTAGAATATTTAGCATAGATCTGAATTATTTTTGAAAGTACTTTATTGTGGAAAATCAAGTTTACTGAAAAGATTATTGAAGTCACGAAATAAATGGTTAGGATCCAGCAGTTAGAGTTCTCTAAAACTGTTAATAACAAACTATTAAATGTATGTATGCATTCATCTTGTTACTCGAGAAACAGAAGTTTCTCTGAATTTGATCATATAAAATTCAGTGAGTGGGGAAGGAGAAAGAAAAAATAACTCCAAGCATAATATCACTTTATATGTATCTTTTGATTGGGAGGGATGGGTCTATTATATTAAAAATTGCTAGAGCACAGAATTTCTTCCAATTTCTAATTTTTGGTGCTCAAAACATTGAGTAACACTGCTATAGTTTTTCTTCTGAGCATTTAAACTCCATGAAGATAGATATGTGTTTTTAATCTTATAATGTTTGGAAGATGTTCCTTTGCTATGACATGCTACTTGAGGTTTATCCCTAAATAATCTAATGGGCTGGGGGAGAGGTCAGAGTATAGATAAACCATTAGCAAGGAGTTGGTAATTTCTAGAGCTGAGTGATGGCACATGGCATTGATTTTATAGTGTCTGTACTTGTGAGCACTTTTGAAGTTGTCATAGTGGATAGCATGTGTATTTCCTGCTAGCATGAAACCCACTCCAAGTAAGTCATCTGCCTGTGCTGTGGTTTCAGGGATATGGAAGCTCCTGAGCTTACCCCCCAAGGAGTTCTCAGTCTGCTTCATTCTGACTGTAACTCCCCTTATCTAAACTTTTAATTCCAACAGAAATCGAAGCTCTCTTAGAGAAAAGACATTATATTATATTTTGTTATTGTGACTTTTCTTGTGATGCAAGTCTTTTTGTGGGTAGGTTATGATCAAAGAGGAGAGAAAAAAATGAAGATTAGATTTGTTGCCAGCAAAAGTCATGTACTAATAGGAGCTAAAACATCCCCAATAAAATAATTATGAGCATCAAAAGACCAACATCAATGACTTTGCGGGGATTTTTTTAGTCAAATGTCACATTACCACATGTGTTCTGTATGCATATTTACCTTGAGGATTCATTTCTTTTGAATATTCACTTTTAATTTGGAAAGTACATGATAAATCTCTCCCTTGTCGGAAAATCTCATGAACTAGTATTGGACTAGATTGATGAAATAAATATATATTTTGATAATATTATTTTTGGAGAGTCTGGATTAGTACCTGGGGGATTTTTTTTAACATTTTATCTATACAAAAGTATACTTTTTGATAGGAAGTTACAGATTGTCTTCATGGAAAGACTAATCAGAGGTGTTCCTGGCCTGATGTTCCTAATCGGGAGTCCATGCGTGAGCATGTGTGTCCATGTATGAGCATCAGGGGGTCATGATCCCCAGAAATGGACTATAAAATATTTTGTGCCTATTCATTTAAATGTGTTTTGGTTGCAGAATCCACTGCTTTATCATATTTTTAAAGAAAGTCATAACACAAATCGGTCAAAAGCTGCCTGCTGAGTTTGCAGACAGGAAATGGTGCTGGAAGTCTGAGATTGAATGTGACCTCCCACACAGGTCAGGGAGGGTCCTCCAGTGAATACAATGTAGCATGTAGTTCTAAGGATTCCAAACTAAAAAAGGAAACTAGACAGACAAGTACCAGAAATTTGAATTGGCCACGGAAACAGACTATGATGCTAGGCACAGCAGCATATGCCCATAATCCCCCCTGACTCAAGAAGCTCAGGCAGGAGGATACAAGTTCAAGGACAGACTCAGCAACTAAGAGAGGCAATGTCTTGGAATAAATTTTAAAAGGAAAGAGCTGGGGATGTAGCTCAGTCGCAAAATGCCCCTGGGTTCGATCCCCCCCTACCACAGGTCGGGGTGTGGATCAGGGGAGACTGGGACGTTTCAGGGAAATTTAGAGCCTGACCCAGGCAGCACTGGTCAGAAACAAATGCAAGTCCATTGCTCTTGCAAACAAACAAACAAAAAAAAATAAAACATAAAGTGAGGACTTACAGAGCATCTTGTATCTTTTTCTGGTGGGTCTATGGATAACTCCAGTCACTTTATCTGCCTCAAGGAATTTATTTTTCTTCAGCTGAAAGGGAAATGGAGAGAGATGGTAAGAACAGGAAACATTTTTTTTAAGATATGAAAAGTATAATTCTAATGCTAATTTTGAAAATGAAATAAATCAGATTTAGAGGAATGTAAGAACATGTTAGAAGTTTAACAGTAAGTTGGAAGCAGAATTTGATCCAGGTCACTGAACTTGACTTGATACATGCAACTTTGTAGTTTGCCAGAATGTATAGTGGATTCTCTCATGGCAATACAACCAGTTTTTATTACAATTTGATAGAGTACTAGTTCTGTGGTATATCAATAAGTGTTTCCTAAAAAATGTTAGCATTTTTTTAACTTCAGAATTTATCTAGGCCTTTCCATTCACTCATTCCTTTATTCACTTTTAGATGTATATTAGAGTGAAGTCCCTCTGCAGGTGGGAGCCAGGCAGTAGAAAACAAAACCAGGAACTCTTCCTGCCTCATGTAGGTTATAAGTCCCATGGTGGGTCTTCCAGAACCTTTGATATGCTCATGAGCATTAGGATTCTTCAAGGGGGAATGGGGTAACATCCCTCCCCACTTTCCAAACCCACTTCTTCCATTTCATCCCAGCCAAAGGAAGAAGAGTTTGACTAAATGCCTTCCCCAAATCCTCATCAGGGAATTGCCTGGAACCATACTGACAAGATAATTTGCTGTTTTCTTGATTTTAAATAAATGCATGTTTTTCTGAGTTTAGGTGTTAAAATATATTCATCCTATTGGACTGGACCTCTGAATATTTCAGATATCAATACTGCCTGAACATCAAACTTTCCTGCCCAGTTCAAGTTCCACCTATTCCTGGAAGACTTTGGTGTCTACATTATCTCATTGTGCTCTCTCCTTCCTCTTGACTCCCATAGAACTAAAGATCTTTATTATTGATCTAGTTGTGATTTTTTTCTTTCTAATTTATGTTTATTTTGATTTGTGGGGATATTCAGCCAGAAAATGGGAATTTTTAAGGATCCATGATAAAATATAGTCAAATGTATGGAAATTAATATAGTATATACTTACCTATTGATTCCCTAGAATTTATTTTACCAGTAGCATCCTAATTTTCTTGTAGTAGTTTACTCCTTCCCCATAACCAGTCATTAGTTTGGATGAGAATGAACCCAACTCTGGCTCCAGGAATTGTCCTTAAGTTACTGAGGCACACATACTGTCTTAGTCTATAGTCACAGTGATTTGATAACTGGGTCCAGCAACCTTTCACATATTTGCTTATATTCTGGAAATGGAAATTTGATTTCTATTTCTATTGGGACTGCAGGAGACAGCCTTTCTTCTCTGCATGTAAGGTCTGAAATTCCATCAGCTACCTTTTATTTGTCAGAGAAGAGAGTTTGGAGCCACCAGTGGGCTGCTGTGTGGAGATGAAATTTAAAAGCAGTACAATAGAAAGAAGAGTGAAGAAAGAGAAACAAGGCAGGCCCTCCATGTTTTGTGTTTTACTGGATTAATTTTTGCCAGGGGCCAGATCTACATACTGACTTTTCAGATCTCTGGCTCCTTTGTCTTTTGCAAGACTGAGAAGAGGGTTCCCTCATGGCAAAACAACAGTCCTAACTGAGTGAATAAGGCCATCCAGTGGAAGAAAATTTCCAATTATCCTATATTATCTCATGACTAAATTAGGATTAGTCTGACTTATAACTAGATTGATTCAAATTCAAGGCAAATAAGTAGTCAGTGTGATCCTGTGCACTAATGGAACATGGCTGTAATAGGCTAGATAGCATTTCAAGGGTATTTAAAATGAGATGAGACCTGGAACAGTGGGTCACTCAAAATTGCCTCTACGGTTCAATAAATTGATATTCTGTCTCCCTAATAAATATATAAACTACTGGAAGTCGGTAGTTCTCATGACACCACGGGCCTAAGTGTCCACCTGGATGGTTAACAAGCCTGGCCATCTATCTCAGGATGGGGCAAGGGTTCTATGCATGTGCCTATGTTTTTGTAAAGTAAGGGATTGAAAATGCTGAGATGGGACGATTTGGAGTCCCCTAGAACTTGAAACAAGGGAATCACTGTGCAGTGGTTTAGGAATAAAAGAGGAAACTGAAGGTGTGGTAGGATGTTTTTAATGCACACTCTTCCAGTGTTATTTAATAGTGTATCTCAGTGCCTGGAATTTGACACTCAGCAAATGATATCTAATGGCTATTATTGTGATTCTGGTTGTTGTTCCAAGCCCACTCAAAACACATAATGAAAACTGAATTTCTTTTAAATATAATTATTTATTTACATAAGTGTGACTTTGGTGTGGATTAGTGAGTTCCTTCTAGAAATTCTTTCTCCTGCTATCACTCATGGAAAATCAGTACTGTCCTGATGCAAACCAGCAGTTAGATGCACTAAGAAAAATAAGTTCAGGGTTAAAGGAGCACAGCAGACTACGTCCTTCAGCAGTGCATGGTCCATTAAGTCTTTTAATTATTTCTTGCTCTTAAAAATTCTAGCTGTTATGAGATAGTTATTTCATAATTAATAATGACAAAATAATGAAGTCTATTAGTCACTTCTTGGCTGAGTTTAACAGTTCTCAGTGGAAATATCTCTACCCCAAGAGATAAATTTCCTAAATATCAAGCAAACAGTTCACATGGCTCTTTTATGATCAGGCTCCCTGTGCAAGTTGCTTTGCACTGAAAGAAAAACGCCTGTTGTTATTTTGCATCTTCCTTAGAGGACAGCAACATGAGTCACTAACTGGAGGGAAAATGAAAATTAAAGTTTTATATATGTTATAAATTTTTTCAGAGTATTTGAGTGGTTTACATAATAGAATAAAATTTGCCTGACCAACGTTACATGCTCTTTTTATTATTGAGTAATTTCATTTACTGTCAGATGTAGAACAAAGCAGGTATTCAACCATTAATTGCTTCTACCCTCTCCCAAAGTTTTATTTCAAAACTTGGGTAGCACAAAGAGGAGTAAAAACTATGGTCACTATAAAGGAAGTTCAGGAGCTTTCCATCCTTCCCCACCCCCAGCTTTAGAGCATCCAAGTGACAGGGGAGTTCATGGGCCCGATTATCATTCAGTTTGGTCTTTTATCCTGTTCAGTTTTTTTACAGTGATTGAAATCATCCCACCAGATGTTTGCTTGCAGAGTTTATAGGGATTTCATTTCAGAACACCAAGATATAATAGATTTTGTGTAACTATCTCTACAATCTTAATGCAATCTATTTATCAAAAATTTACTTGTGTGTGTCTCTCTCTGTGTGTATATATGAGCATGTCTGTGTGTGTATGAGCACAACCCTTTCTGGCACGGTTGGATTGTGCTGCAGTCCACACCTGCATCTTTTCAGTGCTAACACTAAAGTGGCTAAACTTTGAAACACAAGGATGAGGTCAGCCTTACCACACCCCCTCCTACATGGGAAGGGACTTGCCCTGGCATCATCTGATTTCTGTATCCATAACATGCTGCCCTGGGAGAGGGCCCTGTGGAGGATCAAGCCCTGGGATGAGGAGTCATCGCTGAGCCTTCTTCCTCCCTGGACCTGTCATGTCATCAGTTCTGGGTTTGCTGTCGTGGGACCCAAAGTCACACTTTTAGACTTGCCAAGAGCGTTAATAACTTTAAATATCTTTAGGATTGCTTGAATCTCTTTAAATATCATAGGTCAAATTATTCTTGTGAATTTGCTAAACTCTTACATCCTCTCATGATTAGGAACCTAAAACTGCCTGGGATGATGGAGATTTTTGTGAGGGGCATCCTGTGGAATCAGATGGTTCTGAGGATATATGTGTATGTGCTACTTAATGGGAATAGAAGAACTAATAGTATCAGTAGCAACCACATAATGAGGGCTTACTCTACCCCAGGTATCTCTGTTTGCATTACCTTTATTTTGCAGTAATTGTACAGAGTAGATCTTATTCTCATTATATTAACCAGGAAACAGAGTCTTAGAGGGGTTGAGTCAATGGCAGAGTCAAGGAACTGTTATGTGTCAAGACTGAATTGGGATTCAGAACTGTTTGATCATAAACTATGCATTTTTTCCTACTACTCGAATAAAAATAATTAATTTTTTCAGACAATGAACTCTGAACAACAAAAAATATTGTCTGTGCTTAGAATTACCAATGGTAGCTCTTATAAGTAGCAATAGTAACAGCCAAAACAAAAACTCAATTACTGAGCACCTTTAAAATACCAGAAACTTTGGGTTCATTATCTGCAAAAGTCATAATAATCATTATATCATAATAATTTTATTTAAAGGTTATTTTCATTCCTGTTTTACAAACAAGGAGACTGAGGCCTAGAATGGCTAAAGATTTGCTCCAGTAGATAACTGGTAGTTGATGGAGTTGAGTTTTAGACCCAGGTCTACAGTATCCAGGTTCTAAATCTCAACCATTTCTCACTGATGAAAACTGGCTAACATGTCCCCAAATTTAGTGGTTTTAACCAATAATGCTTGAAAAAAATGATCCCACATTCCTAACTGGGGAGTCAAGTAATGAACCTCTGTGGAATGTAAGAGAAGGGGTGCATATCTCTGAGTGTGCTTTCTTCCCAGCTTGAAAAGTGCCTTAGAAGGAAGAAATGACTGTATTTAAAAGAAGTTCTGAGTCACTGAGATGGGAAACCTCTCCCACAATTAAATCAGCCTGCCTCTGGAGGCAGGGAAGGAATGAAGCAAATTAGATTTTTCCAACAGTTCTCAGAGGGCATGCACCCAACTTCTGTAGTTTATAGGACAAGTCAAGCTTTGATTTGGGGCAGAATGACCCCTTGTAGAGAGGACCAGCTGACTAGATTGTTTCAGCTTTCAGTTGTGTTTCAATGTGGTAGATCTCGGGAGTCAAAGTCTCAGCATTTAGTTTTTTATGTAGAACTTATTGATATTAATTGGATTGGTTTTTGAAGTTTTTTTTTTAATGTAGATCAAAAAAACCTTTCTAATGTTTGAAAAGTACAGAACTTGAAGCCCAGGAAAACAGAAGTCCTTTAGCCTCATCCATTCACTGAGCTTATGGTTCAGTTTGGGAGAAATAAATTAAGGAAACTACCAATATAGAATTACTAATTGCAATAAAGAAAAATCACTAGGGGCTCTGAGCACCTATACACCTGGAGAGCTTCCTTGAGTAACTGTGACTGAGTATGACTTAGATGATAACTAAGACTCTTTTTAACTCTTAGTAGACAGCAGGGATATCTTAGGCAACAGGTACAAGATCCCAGCACAGCAGAGCTGACTTCCCAAGCTTCTAGAACACAGATATTACACTTGTTTCTAGAAAGAATTTCTGAGCAAGTGGGTCCTTTCCTGTTGTCCTCTGGTACCTGGGTTAGTAACTTCTCATCCATCCTTCCAGAGAATAGGATGTCATAAGTTGCATTACACTCAGAAACCAAACCTGGTACAATGAATCAAAATGCATTCTGCTGTCATATATACCTAATTAAAATAAATCATTGAATTAATTAAAAAAAATTTTAAAGAGTGATGTACAGCATGATGCTATCTATATAAAATTGTTGACTTGCGCTACCAGTCCAAAAATGTATATAAAGAAATTTAGAAGGATATGTTCTAAAAATTAATATTCTTATATGCATGGGGTAAAATTCTTGACAATTTTATTTTCTTCTTTGAATATATGTGTTGTTTAAAGCTTTTACAATAAACATGTATGATAATTTAAAAAAGAAACAAACAAAGAAAGAAAACCTGGGTGGTTTCTAACCTGTTCTCTGTCACTCAGCTCCTGAGTTAAAAAGAAAAAATAGCTAAGAGGCCCAGGCCTGAGCTCACAGTCTCATTCATCATTGTCCTGTTGACACTGGGCATGGAACCTGGCACCCACACCATGGAAATTGTTATCAAAAGTTACCCCAGAAGACAGTCCCTGACCAGTAACAGTAGAAGAAAATGGGAAAGATGCCAAAAAGCTGGCACCCCACCACAACAACCGGTTCAGCTGGTATTCCAGGTGCAAAGCCAAGGCCAGTCAATCATGAGGGTTCAAAGAAACATAAAAAACAACATGATGTTGCCCGAAGTTCATGAAAAAAAAGGCCACCAATCTTCAAAACAAGATATAATGTCTCACAAATGTTGGTGACATGAAGCATTAACTTTTGTGGCTGTCGCATAGCTTTCAACAATGTAACAACCACATTTCTCATTAAAAGATACCTTTTCAGTAGCAGCTGTATGGAATCAAAACCCACCATGACAGTGGCTTTGGAGGCTGAGGCAGAAGGATCCCAAGTTCAAAGTCACCCTTAGCCTCAAAAAACAAAACAAAACAAAAACAAAAACAAAAAAAAACCCACCCATGATTCTGTGCTTCAGTTGAAGGAGGGTAGATTTTGAAACTTGTACCATGGGATCTGTTCCCTCATTGATGCAGAAAATAACTATAGTGGTACTCACGTTTGGTCTATATGAAGACTCATCTTGCCTTTTCCAAAAGCACCTCACTGCCCCAGAGTTTGCAATTCAAGACATGACAATGACAGGGACAATAGAGTCCTTTTCACTCCTTTTCAGTCATAAGAGAAATCATCTCCTAGAACTTATCAATATCATTTTCTCCAACACCAAACACTTATCTGGGGTCAATTTGGGGAAAATATTGAATCTGAACAGACACATGTCAAAACATTTCAAGACCACAAGCATCATGACAGATTCATAGACACTTAGGCTTTCAGGGCATTGAAATGCCCTGGAATTGGAATGGATTATCTTGGCTTGGTGCCCATTCATCTTTGTAATGGATTCAGCAAGGACCTTTTGCTTTGATTTTTAAGGTCCCATTAAGGATCATCTGCCTACTGCAATGACTCACAGTGCTCAAATGGTCCATGATGTTATCTGTGAATGTCTGTTGGGCGCCATGCTGTGATTGTTGTTTTTTTCATTAATGTTGTGAAAACTCACATACAGTCTCAAACTGGTGCATTTTTAGTCTTTTCCAAAGGTGTTCAAACCAATCTGTCTAGAATTGGACAGGACTCTGACAAGGCTTTTCAGAGGTTCTCATCTGAATTACCATCAGTCTCTCATCTCTTGGGTACTACCTATGAGCTCTTGTTAAAAGTTATATGAAAAACTTCATTAGGGAAGTGCCACTTATCAACTTAAAAAGACCTAAGAATAAAGTTTTCTCTTGTTCCTAGTTGGTGCAAACCAAGATGTTGTCCTTAATTCTAGGCTGCAAAAAATGGGCAAAGCTACTTTCCTTAGGCCTCAACAACAAACATTAAAAATTTTCAGTAGAAAAATCCAAGTCTTTATTCTTGTTATTTTTGTTGTTTCTATCATGATCCAAGAGCTTTAGGCTAATTGCCTAGTACAGGCTGTCTATATGATGGTTTTTTACAGGGTAACCTAATAGCAAAGTTATATTTTTTCCCCAGAATAGCCTATAAGTCTTTTGTATTGAAACATAAATGATTGTGACCAACTACAGAAAATACTCTAGGGCCCTGGAACTTCTTGGGTTGACTTTGTTACCCTGTCTCTTGCTTCTCTGCTCTCAGTAGTCTTCACTGAACTCAGGTATATACATGCCAGGACAAAGGAGTAGAACAGAGAAGAAAACCAGCTTATTAGATATAGGCATTTCATGGTGAATTGTTGATGATAGTAATTATCCCAAGAGGTACTTAATTTCAAAACTACCCAGACTTTTTTTTTAGACATGGTAGAATCAAGTAGCTAACTACTCGATTTTTCCATTTTTGCTTTCTAGCTTAGAAATGTTTCTATTTAATTCTGAATGTGATCTTAAGCCCTGGGAGGATATAACAGAATGAATTACTTACAACATAATTTAAATCATAATTCCATAGAGATTGTCCCCTTTAATCTGTTTGTTTAATTATTGGTGCCAACTTAGCAGAGAAATTGGGAATTTTTTTCCCACTTGAATAGTAATACATCATATTCAAGCATCCTGTTTTTTTGAAACTATTTTTTAAACATAAACACTTCCACAAACTTAAGAAAAAACATCAGTGACTTTATGACAATGAAACAAAGGTGACAGTTAGGTAAACATGTGTCTGTTCAGATTTCAATATTTCCCCCAAATTGATCCCAGATAAGTGTTTGGTGTTGGAGAAGATGATATTGGTAAGTTCTAGGTGAGGATTTTTCTTATGACTGAGGATGTCTGAACATTTGTAGGTGTCTCTTCCTCTGAGATGCACAAGGCATTCTAAGACAAGGCTGGGAGTTGCTCTGGGGTGACATATCACCAGGAGAATGAAGAGCTACCCTCCAGGAGGAAACTGACACAGTGCTCTGTGTGATTAGGTATACGCCAGTGCTCAAAGGTCCGTGACACTGAAAATTTGTTCTTCTTTACATAGACCTTGATGTTCATCTTAGGGAAAACATGTCTTCAAAAAGGTTCACCTGTGGAATGCTCCATTTTGACAATTCTCTTTCTCAGAGTTGGACTCAGATGGGAGTATGTTAATTGTCACATAGAGTCAGAGCCATCTTAAAGCATAGGATGGACGTAACTATTTTGTTTTCTTTCCATTCATATCACACATGGCTCCCCCTCCCTCCCTAAAGGAATCACAGACCTCTAGCGTTAGATGGGGCCTTAGATGTGACCTGATGTGGCCTTTTTATTTTATGAATGGAAAAATCATTCAAGGAGAATATTCGGCTTCCCTAAAAGCATATTCTATGTCAGCTGAGGTCCTGGGAGTATAAATCACTTCAAAGCTGTCACACAAGCTACCTTCTTACACGGGT